TATCCACATATCCACTGGCTCAGAAGAAAGAAAGAAAGAAAGAAAGAAAGAAAGAAAGAAAGAAAGAAAGAAAGAAAGAAAGAAAGAAAGAAAGAAAAAGAGAAAGAGAAAGGGAGGGAGAGGGGGGACTCATGTGATACTGATGTTCCCAGTCAATATTTGACTCGGTAAAATATGCAATTTGATATGAAAAGCAGGTGATGACCATGGAAGAGATGCATGGAAATACTGTAACCAACTGACACACTTTCTACAATTTGTAATGGAAGATGGTTTTCTTTATTTTTATGTTTGTTTGTCTTTGTTCAAAAATAAATAAAAATTGTTTATATATAAAAAAATAATATGGTAAAATAATTACACACATTAACTACCAAAATGCCTGTAGTTTTTCCTCAGTGGTATCCTAGAACATCTCTCTATTCTTCAAAGATTTCTTTCACAGAATCTCTGGTTGTCAAATTAGATTACTACTTCATTCTTACAGGTTTACTAATGTGACTGCATTCCTATAATAACTACTTACTATACTTAAGGAGCCATAAATAGTGGGCTTTTAGGTCTTGTGGATAAGAAATCTGATCACGATGTTGTTAAACCTCTGAAAACTGCTTTTTTAGTTAGAAGAACCAAGATGTTAATGTAGATTAAAGCAGAATTATTGAGATTTTTCTTCTTCTCCAAATCAGAATGAGGGGCGGGGCAGAGAGGTCTGCAGGTGAAATAAATTGTGGAACAAATTGACAAAAACCATATTGTACTGATATGATGAAAGCCCTTCTTCTTTTGTACATATAACATTGTATGCATGCCCCAAGGTGGTGGAGCTTGTGATAAAATGCTGTTTTTGTCATTTTGACAAGTGTGGGAAGCTTCTGTGGACAGTGTCATTTATTCCCCCAAACAATTAACATATGAAAATTACAGGAGGAAAAATGAAGCCAAAAATCTGGGTTTAGTTTTGAGTATTTGCCCTATCTCTCAAAATAAGGAAGAGATTCTAATAGGATTCACAAGCTACCCTAAATTATATTACGGTTTTAAATTATTTCTGAGGTAAAGTTAGCAAAATATGGTTTATATTGTATAAGCCAAGCTCAGTATCTTGTATGAACCAAGCTAATTAAATAAATTCTAGTTAAACCTATTTATGTGGCTGTTGATAACTAATAGCAATGGTATACAATACTTATAATTTTGGCTCTGATTGTAAATTGCTTATGAAGTATCCCTGAGTTTCAAAAATATTGGTTTTTTTCCTGTGAATGAGGAGAACTTAATTTTAGAGAAGGGAAAACAAACTGTTGCAAGTATTGTATGTGCAATGGACATTTATGACTTTACTAAGGAATGGGTTTGTATTTGATGAACCAATAACAAAGTGTAAATGGTTATTTTCTGTATATTAATTGCCATCTAAATATAAGAGCAGCCTATAATAATGTAGTTTGCTTATCATTCTTGAAATTCTGCTTATCTTACTCTGTTCTTCACAAATGTTCTGTTAAAAAGAAAGACGCCTCAAATGTAAATGCAAGATTACTGCTGTGATATTTACTTTGTGGGATAGTTCTGAACCATACGTTTTATTAGTAGATAGCTTTTACCGAAGCAAGTATGACTTGCGACACAGTCAAATAATGCTTTTTGTGCTAATAATTAAGGTAGAATATGTGCTTTGTGTTTATTTTTAGGTGATATGAAACATGTACTATAGCAAATCCTTGTGCATGTCTTGTCATATATGAATGCTTTAAAATTGGTTAAATAGTTTTGACTGTATAATTAGAACAGATATGTATTCTGCTGATTAGAACTGCTTATGTCTGCCATTTTTAATTTAACAAATGTGTAAAATGTTTCAGGAGAAGCGTAAAGCAGAAGAGGCTTTGAATGATCTCAAGCGTCAATATGAAACAGAAGTGGGAGATCTCCAAGTAACAATAAAAAAATTAAAAATGGTATGTACAAACTTAATATGTGGTGAAGAGTGCACGGCTAAATAGATTCAGGCCAGATTCTCTGTAAATGTTCTGCTATCTTTGAAGCAATTAAGCAGACAAGAAGATGTAACTTTCATCTTATTGAGAAATGAACTTTCACATATTTTAATCCCTGAGATAATAGAACAAAGCGATGCTTCCATAAAAACAAAGGAATTGTGTTGTGCCATTACTATTTAGTTATTTCAAAAAGTGAGAGGTTAGCTTTGTTGTATTTGGGAGTAAATCTGCTCATTGAAGTCTTGGGTTACTTTCTGCAGTTCCATGTCTAAATAACCACAAATAAGTGTTAATTGACCTTAATGAGTCTTTTTCCAGTCACATGCCTTTTTATTACTCGCTTCCCTAATAATAACAATATTTGACAATTATGTTTTTGAATTATCAAAGCACCTATTAAATCTAAATGGACTTTAAATGAGTAAGAATTCCTTTTGTTGACAGATTGGGAAACCTTTCTGTGAATTGAAGATTAGTTAATTCTTAGCTTTCCAGTTATTATTTTAATTTTTCAGTTATCATTATACAATAGTTCTTCGTTCTTCAGTTATTCATTGCTACACACCATAAATTATTTGTATTGATGATAATAACTCAGGAAGTTAATGATTAGTTTAATATTGCAATACTGTTTCAAGTTACTAAATTAATAAAACTAGTTTGCTAGTTTTAAAAGCTGCCCTCAAATAACCTATACAAAAAACAGTTCTTGAGGATTTTTAAAAAATTCCTTTGCATTGTAGTGAGGCAGTCAAAGAAATTTTCTTATAACTTTTACATTTTCTTTATTGTTTACAGCTTGAGGAACAATCTAAACACATTAATCAAAAAGAAGATTTGGCAGTATTAAAAAGAAGGATACATGATCTTATCTTGGTATGAGTTTCTTAAAGTTTCTTCATTTAGCCTATCAGTCTCAACATAATTAGTATTTTCGTTGCCTCTCTTGGCTTGGTGAAATTTGACATTTTCTTGAACTGTCAGCATGTTCAAATGAACGAATAGAATTTTAGGGAGAGAAAAAAAAACAGATTTTTCCTGGTATATGGTGTGTTTAGCTCAGGGGTCACCAACCTTTTGTACCTCAGGGACCACTAAATTCATAATTTGAAATCCAGTGAACCACTAATATGATCTCTCTAATGATCGGCTGGGTGGTCGTGACTGGGTGGTCGTGACTAATTTGATATCACTCACATCAAGGGGTGCCTCACCAGCCTCTACTCGCCCATCCCCTGCCAGCCACTCTTCACCACCCTGCCTGGGCTCCTTAGGGCCCCAATAGGAAGCAGTTGTTGGAGCTAAGCAGCCACCACGAGAAAGAGTTAGCAAAACAGCTCAGTTCAAATTAGATCTGACTGAGAAGAACGCTCAGTAGAAGCACATCACTGAGGACTACAAGCATAGGCTTTCCAAGCAGAGGAAAGACCTGTGGGAGTGCAAGGCCAGGTACTGGTGCCTGGAGGCTCAGTGGGCTGTGATAGTCAGCCAGTTCCAGGCCATGGTGCAGTACCACTGGAACAAGGTCCTCCAGCTCTTTGCCACCGGCAGCACTTCCCTCTGGCCTTTGCCCAAAGCCCCACACCACATGGCTGAAGCAGACCTGAAGTTGGAGTTTCTGACCTTCTCTGACCACACAAAAAGACCCCGAAGGTGGAGCAACACAAACATTCATTGCACATATCCGTCCCAGGGGCCATAGTTTGAGGATCCTAATTTAGTGCAATATAAAAAATGAAAATATTTTTTCTGCAGACCACCAAAATTTTCTCATGAACTACCTGTGGTTCACAGACCAACAATTGGTGACCGCTGGTTTAGCTTCATATATTAACAGTTAGTGGGTAGGTGGCATGTGTAACAAAATACAGACATGTTTTTCTACTGGTGGAGGAGTGAGATGGAATTTCTATAGTTCTGTGGCCTTGTGCATATCATGAATATTTATTCTAGGAAGTTTTGAAAAGCTACAAACAGATTTTGGGGGAAAAGAGGTTGGGTACAAATGGGAAACCAGTGCAGAAATAATTAATCCCTTTATTTTAAATTGGTGACTGTTCAAGTAGTTCACAGCTTGGTGAAATAATTTATTAAAGTAGCTGTTCAAAGAATCCTAAAATGTGTTTAATTTCATGAATCATTATTGCATGAATTACTATTTTTGAATGTTTCCTTTTTAAAATTTGCTTTTAGGAAAACCAGAAACTTAAAAAAGATCTTATGGAAGCACAGACAAATATAGCTTTCCTTCAGAGTGAATTAGATGCTTTAAAAAGTGATATTGCAGATCAAAGTTTGAATTCAGAAAGGTAAGGAAATATCTCTAGAGGTACATAGTAAGTTGTTGTTGGTAAAAAACCAAACTAATTCCCCCTAAACTATTCTCTTTGCAGAGATCTAGACATGATCAGAGAGTACACTGAAGACAGAGATAGCTTGGAGAGGCAGATAGCAATATTACAGTAAGCTGCTAAATAATTCTGTTTTTAAAATGTTTTCATTTATAAATTTTGATATTCAGAAGTTAGGATCTCCAATGGGGAAAAGAACAGCTCTCTCTTTTTTTGTGAAATAGCAGTTCTCTCTTTTTGGGGGAAAGGTGTCTCCAGTTTCCTGATTTATATTTTAATCAGCCTGTCTGGTAGATAAAACATAGTCACTGTATTAAGCTACATTTGATATTATAGGAAACTTTCTTCAGAACTAAAATTTAATCATTTTTATTTATTTTTAATTTTTATACCTCTCCTGACCAAAGTCTATAAATCTTACAGGTTTTTATGTCACTGAATTCTAAATAAGCCATAGTCCATTGCATTTTATTTATCTATTTGTACGTTACTTTCCAAAAGGACATATTTATTTAAAACATTTATTTAGCTGCCCATTTTCTTACCAACATTGGGCAGGTTTTAAAACAACATATTAAGCCATGTTAAAACTATCAAACTAAACAATTAAAACAGTGGTTATTACATTACATGTAGCATCTTAATATTACTTTAGTCTAAAGTACCTGAAAATACAGTATAACAACATAATATCTTATGCTTATTTAATTACTAACACCTAGTTGAATGTTCTTGGGGTAAAATGAACTGGAGGATTTGAACTGATCTGCAGTAAAATAGATAAGTTCAAATTGAATAATTCTGTCTCAGAAGTAAGGTAATTATTGGAGACTTTGTTCCAAGAACAAATGACTGCTAAGGTGGCCAAGTAGAATCAGCCTTCTCCATATAAGCTTTGAAATAACCGTGTTGGAAGAACATATTTGGACCGTTCTCTATGGTCTTTGTGGTGACTTATAATCACTGGATGTTACTGCAGCTGTGTATTCCTTTGAAGAGATGCCTTTGCATTGTGAAGTCAGCCTGTTGTGACTCATTAAAGCACCCACATTAGTTTCTTATTGCACAGAGACTCTGGGAAGGCTTCTTCTGTAACTGCAATCTTGGACAAAGCTGCTTTAGTGAGGCAGGTGCATTAGGGCCCCACACATTCCAAAACATTCCTCAAAATTTCAATCTTGAGCATTGCAGAGGCCTAATATTTATTATAGAAATAAATGCCATTTTTTGTTTTATTGTATACTGTATACTGAATTTCATGGAAGTATTCTGAGAGGCTTTTGCTCTTTTCAAAGTTTTATCTTAATCACTTTGCTGTGATATGGTAGCATTTAGATTTCAAAGTATTTGGTTTTAAACATGAGAGAACATTAAAAAGTGGGCTCTCCCCACTTTCATCTGTTGTGTAAAATAATACAATCAGTTCTGCTGCTTCAAAGTTCTTTAACTTTGTACAAGTTGAGACTTATGCACAGACAAAAAACAAAACTTAGTTGCAGCAGACTGCTCAAAGTTATCACGAAATTGTTTTACTACCTTGTGCATTTTTAACAATTGCTTTGATAATTATGCCATTTTTTCCTAATCTGATGCCATCTAGATCTGAATTCAACTCCCATCACATGTCAAACTTTCTATGTGAAAGTACATGTAATCTAAGATACATGGAGGATTTCAGAATCAGGGAGGATGATGCAAAGGGGCTTGACGGTGTTTAAAATGAAAATTCTCATCTTTTTTGTAGTACCTTATATATGCCCAGTACTTTGATTTCTCTTCCTGTTAATTTGCATTGGGGCCTCGTGAACTTTCAGATTGGCAAAAGGGCAGTGGAGTAGGGAATGAAAAACCAGCAGTTCCTTGGCCCTTCTCAAATGAGCAAACATGGAGTCTTTGTAATTATAGGAGCAATTATTTCTTTTTCCTGTTTTGGGGTTAGTGATACCCATACATATGATAACCATTAGGGTTGTATTAACATTGAAAGAGAGCCATTTTGGTATAGTGGTTAATGCATCAACTGCAAACAAAGAGAGAGAGTTTTAGCCCTGCTTTAGGTAAAAAGTTGTGTTGCCTTGGGTTCCTCTCTCACTCTCACTCTGCTCCAAGAAACATGCAATGTTTCAAAATGCTTTCAAACTTTTACCAAGAAAACTATAGGCACTTGTCCAGGCAGTTGCCAGGAGTCAAAACTGACTCAAAGATATACACATAGGAGATATACACATCAAGGATGCACACATAAAACTGACTCAAATATACAAACATAGACAGACAGAAAGGCATTTATCAAACTATTTATTGAATCATTCTGCCATTTTCCCAACCTTTATGAAAGGCACATGGAACCCCTTTCATTTTCTTATTTTTGTTGCATGTCTTAACACCAACTTAAACTGCAATTGCTAGGGTTGGCTTCTTGTAAGGCAATTTCCCCCCCTCTGTCTTGATTTTAGATCAGCTAACAGGAAACTACATGACAGTAATGATGGCTTAAGAAGTGCATTAGAGAACAGTTTGAGTATATACAACAGATCACTGGTAGGTTTGTTCATTGCATATTCAACCTGTAATTAATTATATGTTAATTAGTAGATTGCTTTTTTTTCTTTTGAGCATTTCAATAAAAACACTTACGTTGGAGTCACTGAAATATAATAAATCTGTATTTCTGTCAAAACAATCCTATGCTTTTTAAAATGGAAATAAGCCCTGTGTATTTAATGGGGTATAAATGTACATACTTTGATAGTTTAATTCTATTTAAAAAAAAAAATCCCACTGAATTATTTAGAATTATATATTGAGAAAAAGTTTTGGTTATTGAATCTAATATTGCTTATTTTATAATTTTGTATTTTTTTCTATTATTAAAGTAGGTAGCATGAACGTATAAAATTATTATTTTTATTTCATAAGGCAAATTATTTTTGGGAAAACATTATACCAAGAGGATGCTTCATTTATCTCTTCTCCCTCCCCAATTAGGCACATAATGATTGAATATGTTTTTGTTTTGAATTTTCCAAAAGTGAAATACCTGTAATGTTTTGGTAAATAAGGAGATGATCTTAAACTAACTTTTTCCAGGTTATCTCAAAACTTTCTAATTCATGTGTCTTATTTTTCAGCGTCTAACAAATATTTCCCCTGGAAACACAATGTCCAGAAGCAGTCCCAAATGTGGCCGTGGCCATTCTCCCCAAAATCCACAATATGACAGGTAGAATTGATTTGTCTTTAAAAATCATACATTTTGAGAAACTGGATATATATGTGTTAAGTAATATTCTAAAGACGGAGTCAAGCAGTTTTCTACCTTTTAAATTAATTTCTTTTTTTTAGAGTTTCATGATAAGGTTGGACTCATTCTGAGGTTCAATCTCTGACAACCCAAGACAGGTTTGAAATAATGAGCATAGAATAACAGGGTTGGAAGGGACCTTGGAGGTCTTCTAGCCATGGACAGGTGATCCTATATCATTCAGAACAAAATAGCTGTCCAGGTCTCTTCTTGAAAACCTCCATTGTTGGAGCACCCACAACTTCGGAGGCAAGCAGTTCCACTGATTAATTATTCTCATTTGATAAAAGCTTTATTTCATTATTGCTGTGCATGATTAAACAATGGGGTATCCCTGAGCAAATTCTGGAGTCTCCAGTTCTTATTTTCAATACAAGGATTCATCTGAGTTCATGACATTTCCATCTCTGGTTGTTTCTTTATCTCAAGAACCTGATAGGTTTGGAAAGTTATTTTGGATCAGTCAGCAGTCTGTCTCTTCCTTATTCTGTACTATCCAGATAGGAGCCAATTGGTATCACTAATCTTTCATAAAACAATTACAGTTATTAGAAGTTGAAGGACAGAGTGCTGTTAGTCTGAGGTATCCAAAAATCCAAAAGGAGTCTGGTACGACCTTTTTAGACCAACAGGCAGCACAGTAGAATGATTGCATTGACGTAGGATTTAAATTAGGGTGAGATGGACTGGAGAGAAAAAGAGAGTATTTGAGTACTGACAACCAATAGTGTCTTCTTGTCAGTCTTTTAATAGATTCTTTGGGGAATCAATCTGGATCTATAGATTTGTTTGTTGATCTTGTTGTGTGGGTAATTGTGTCTTTGGAATACATAATTTAATTCCATCAGTTTTGCGTCTCTGTCAAGAACAAATGTGGTGTAAAACCTAGCTATAGATGATACAGTTGGTGGTGTCCTCAAGAAGCAAGTAAATTAGAAGCAAGTAGATACTCATGGCAATCTGTAGGTTTCCTATAGTGTAGAGGTGTCCAGCCTTGGCAACCTTAAGAATTCTCCAGCCAACATGTCCACAAGTCTTAAAGTTGCCAAGATTGAGCACACCTTGTTATATATGTATAACATAATGTTTATAGTAACTTTCATATACAACATTGGTTGCCTACCCAATGCTGCTCTCTAGTGGAATCAAATGATTATCTAACAAGGGACATGATTGTTGGGAATAGCTATATTGGATTTTGACCCTGAGAGATTTTCATGAATTAAAGTTAGTACTTCTTATTCATTAATAATTTTGAATGGGAGCCTAGCATTTTTACTCTCTAGAATAATTTTGTAAATTTAAGACTAGGTATTATGTATATCACCCAAGTTAAGATAATTTCAAGAAATACAATTTTTTTCTCAGTTTTCAGAACAGAGTTTCTCTAGCATGCTTTTTGGAAACAAATTGCTTTAAGAGATGTGTGCCCTGTTCTATGTCAACTACAAAATTTGAAGGACTTTAAACCATTTTTTCTTAAATTCCATTTCTTAAATTTGAATGCTGAGAAATTGGGATATAAATACTTTAATGAAATAAGCATATAAAAAACAAACTATACCTTTAGTGCTTAATGTTGTATTTTATTTTAATGTTTTAGAACTGTACCTCAAGAGATGTTTAACTACGATTAGTCTTTGAAGTTATTCAGACTATTCTAGTGTAATGGAACAGGATAACAACACTTATATATCTCTTAATTACAACTTCTATTTTAACAGTAGTATGTAGGTCCGCTCTCCCTGACTTAACACAACAGTATAATTATTCATATCCTCTGTATATTTCCCCATGTGAAATATAATTGGCTAAACGTCTAGAGGATCAGAGCTCACTTCCTCACCATAGCAGGAATCCCTGGGAGGTAGGCTTGGTTGAAAGAGTGACTGTTGCAAAGGCTAAGTTTTCGTGGCTGAGGGTGGGCTTGAACCTTACCCTTTGCATTGCAATTCCAAAAATTATTTCTCCTTATGTACCCATCAGGCTGTCTCATTCATCCTATGTGGATGAAGAGTATGACTCCCTCGCACTTTGTGATCCAATGCAGAGGATAAACTGTGAAGTTGACAGCTTGCCTGAAAGCTGCTTTGATAGCGGCTTGTCTACATTAAGAGATTCCAATGAATATGATTCAGAAGTGGAATCCAAGCATCAAAGAACATCTGAGAGAACACAGTGCCTGCAGGAAAGCTTCCCGGGTGATGCTTCTGACACAGACGTAAGCTACGGAGCATGTTAACCATACTTTTTAAAATGTTCAGATTGGTGTTTAAAAGCAGAATCATCTCCTGCTTGTCAGAGAGTGAACTGGAACCTCATCTGAGATGGAAATACGTGTGAGTTTAAATATGAAAAGGAATTGCAGGTTTTTGCGTTTAATGTGGTTAATTGACCACATTATTATTTCTGTGGTTACTCTTGACAGAGTTTTGGGGGAAAAGTGCATGCTTGTTTATGTATTCATTGCATCCCATCCTGTAGAATAGTGTTTCTCAACCTTGGTGACTTTAAGTCCTGTGGACTTCAACTCCCAGAATTCCCCAGACAGCTACAGGAAAGAGACTGTCTAGAATTTTAATAGATAGAATGGAATAGTGGAAGAATTTACTCCAGTTCTCCAAGAGGAATCTGTAAATGTTACCCATACAAATGGAAAAAAAAAATCTTGTATGACATGTATCAACTGAGAGTCAAATTGGATTATGGCAGTAGATTGATCTCTCTCTCTTACCCTCCCTCCCTCCCTTTCATTATCAATAGTGTTTTCCAAGGCAGATTAGTTACACATCTTTGTTTTATTCAGGTCCCAGAGATACGAGACGAAGAGGTATACAGTCCTGATGATGTAAATACAGTATTGTGTTGGAAGCCCGACCAATCAGTCAGTCGAAGCAGTTCTGGAGTTTCAACAAGGAAACACATCCCTGCGTTCTCTCCACAGGTATCAAAAATAGAGTGCCATGTTTACTCTTTAAACCACGATGGCTGAGATTGAAAGGGCACCCTTCAGAACAACCAAAACATCAGTGGATTCAGTGCATCCTTGACATTTTTAAGCTTGGATTCTTTGTTCCCTTCCTGTGTGCCCTTTCATTTTTTCACTCATCTTTTTACTGTCAAAAGGTATTTTCCATATGGCATGAAGGAGTAGCTGATGGATATCTGAGGCTTTTTTTGCAGCAAAGAACTAATCATATTAATCTTTTGATGACAAATTATCCTAAGGTGTATTTTATTGAATAAATAACTAAAACTAGGTTCATAGTACAATGCATTGTCAGAACCAAACAAGCTTGGGTTAGAATAAACATCCGATACTATGGATGCTAATTCAGATGCAAGCTTCACTGATTTTATTAGCTATCCGATTATTATTTACAAAGCTCAGTGAAATCTTCAGAAAGAATGTCCCAACATCTTGTCTTGTTGTTATGTAACTAAGTTTTATCTTTGAAAGTCTTTTATAACTTTATAACGTAAACTTAAAACTTAAACCAAACGAAAAAAGTCCTCCAGTGATTTTAAAGCACGTTATGCTAATATAAAAATGTACTTTATGACATTTTTATAATGCATTATAGACATAAAACACTTTTTTTCAAAGAATTTTTTATTTATTTTTTATTCACACATATTATTTTAAGTATACAGTCACATAATTGTGACGTAAAACATTTTTAACATCATTTTTATTGAAAGAAAATTTTACACAGGATGAAAAAAATAGTAGCTTAAAAAGAAAAAAAAATCAAAAAATGAAAAATGATGTAAAATAAGTGAGGAATCACAAAAGACAAACAAAAAAAGGTATCCAAAGAAGTGACTTCTGATCTTCTTTGCAGCATTTGTAGTCTGGTCACCTTTTCCTCTTTTATAAATTGCCTATCTCGGTTTCTCCCAGAAAAACTTCATTTTTAATAAGTAAATCCAGAAATCACCAGACATAAAAAACATAAACTACTTTAAAATCTGTCAGAGGTTCACTAGGCCAATCTTCCCTGCCTGCTATCCTCTAAAACTGTTGGAGGAATAGAGAATCTATATCTCTCAGAGTTCTGACAAACTTTCTCACACTTCATCCCTGTGCTCAACAGTAAATTATAGATCTCCAGACACTTAATCCTTAGTTCAGTTTCTCAGTTTGACTTGGCAGAAAACTCGCAAACACAGCTTGGCTAGATTAGAGAATTTACTGCGGACGAAAACAAAGCATCATATGTAACAAGTTGATTGCTCGTTGCAGTGCAAAGATCTCAGGGAGTTTTATATTTTCTCAAGGCTTTAAATTCTGGCTGCTTGTTCTCACCCTTTTGAATTAAGGGGTCTTTTGTGTGTTGTTTGGTGACTTTGAGAGTTTGTAATATGCTTGCATACGGCTCATCTTCAGTCTGGGAATCCCTAATTCACATTTGCTAACTGCGTCCTTTATATTCTTGGCCAAAACAAATGTAAAGGGAACCATACTGGGAAGGTTTATTAACTCTACTGTCTCATTACTGATAGCCACCGAGATAACCCTTTTTGTTCCAAAGTTTCTGCTTATTTGTATTAATACCATAAGAAGTACAGAAATACAAAAGAAAATATTAGGAAAGATAAGAGAGAGTGGGAAAAGAAAAAAAAGACGTTGATTTCCAACTTCCTTTGGTCTTGTAGAATAAAATAATAACATCAAACCTCAACTTTTTTATTTTTATATAATAGTATAAACTACCCATTTCTATAACAAAACCCAAAGTCAAAGTTTCATTCCCCACCCCCACCCCCTGAGCACAAAGTCCAGAAGTGGCTTCCAAGTAGAAACAAAAGTAGTTGTATTTTTGTCTTTAATCAAAGCAGTCGGTTTAGCCATCTCTGCTAACTCCAGCAACTTCTGCAGACATCAGATGACTCTTCATATAAACAAGATATGAAAACATCAGTTCATTGGCCTTCAGGATTACTAACTATGAATCCCTCCATTTAAAGGCAGTTAGGTTTTGTGGTACTAAATTTCACATTATGCGGAGCAGAAATACATAATTTTTATATTATTACTAAATCAAGGTTATTGGATATCTGGGCACTTTTATCTTTTATAAATGATTAGGAAGTATACTTTTGAACTTGTACAAGCTCAGCATCTCTTTCAGTAAGACATCTTTTTTTCAGCGTTTTTCTGTTTTAATGACATACTGTAATTTATTAAAGCAGCTACATCTTTAAGTGAGCCTTAAAAGAACCAAATCACTTGCCTGGAAAAATGTGATAGCTGCTTTAATAAGTAGAGCATTAGCGTGGATTAAACAAAGCTTTCCTTAAATAATGTTCAAAATATGTATACCCCTAATGAATCTCCTGAAAGAAAAAAAGAAATTCTAATTTTCTTACCTGTTAATTTGTGTATAAAGGACTGTCATGCTACTACTATTTGAAAGGCTTTGATTGACAAGCAAGGCCTTGCATCCTTCAGTTATTTTTTTGATAATTTTAGTTAAGTGGGAAGCTGTATAGTTTTCAGTATTCTGAATTGTACTGTACTAATGGATTAATAGAAAGCATTGCAATATTGACATTGCAATATTTGGGTTCTCATTTTCACTCCCATCCCAATGATGTCTGATGAAATATTTTCATTATGCTTGTCTTCAGTGATGAAGATGATTGTCATATCTAGAATTATCACCATAAGATAAGTGTGTGTACGTATACTGTGTTTCCCCGAAAATAAAACAGGGTCTTATTTTCTTTTGACCCCCGAAAACTTGGCCTTATTTTTGGAGAGGTCTTATTATTTTTGAGGTGCACGAGGCAGCGAGCGTGGTCACCTCTTGGCTGCTGCTGTGTTGCAATATTTTCAGGGAGAGCTTATTTTTTGGGGAGGGCTTATTTTAGTGCATGCATTCAAAAGCCCGATTGGGCTTATTATCTGTGCAGGTCTTATTTTCCAGGAAACAG